GAAAACAAAAATCATTCCCTATACTTAGTAGGCATGATTTTACCACTACATTCACCAAACCCCACTTTATATCCTTCCCCTTGATACAAAACTTTGACTTGCATCCTTAAACATAACCTCTCCATTCTGGGCTACTAAAATTGGTAATTATTATTATTTATTAACGTTAATCAAAATAATAAAGTTATGATTGACATTATGCATACTTAAACAATATATAAAATATAAATAGATGATTTGTAATTAAAATTATATAGACTTTGATCTTTTAACCAACTAAAAAATAATCGAGATATGAAGTCTTTTATCGAAGTTTCATCCGATTCTCATTTTCCGATTCAAAATTTGCCATTTGGAATTTTTTCTCATGATGGCAATGTAAGTAATTCAAGTATAAACCTTGTAAATGAATTCTAGATTTTTCTTAATAGAATTACTGTTTTTTTTACCTATAGTTATCCTCTCGCGTTGGCGTTGCTATTGGTGACCAAATTTTAGATCTAATGGTCATATCTACCTTATTAGAGAAACATGTTCCAGAATTAGGTAATCCAAAATTGGTCTTTTCTCAGGTAATGATTTAATTAAAAAAGAATTTTTTTTCAATTTAATTTCTAAATAATTTACATTATATAACAAGATTAATATATTATATTTTATTCGGTTCTAATGTTTAAAAACAGCCATCATTAAATATGTTCATGTCATTGGGAAGACCAATATGGCAAGCTACACGAAAATTCCTACAATCTATCTTATCAGAAGATAATCCAGAATTACGTGATGATAGAGAACTTAGAAAACAATCATTTATTCCTCAAAAACTTGCAAAAATGCATTTACCAGTTAATATTGGTCATTATACGGATTTTTATGCCTCAAAGGAACATGCAACTAATTGTGGTATTATGTTTAGAGGGAAAGATAATGCATTGATGCCAAATTGGTTAGTTTAAATCTAAAAATATTTATAAATTTTAATATATTATTATTTTGAATTGTATGTTATTTAAATGAAATTACCTAAAAATTTTATTTAGGATTCATTTACCAGTTGGATATCATGGGAGGGCTTCCTCTATTGTTGTTTCTGGGACAGATATTGCGCGCCCGAGTGGTCAAAAATCACCAGGAAAAGGCAAACCTCCGATTTTTGGTCCATCTGAAAGATTAGATATTGAATTGGAAATGGTAAAAAAAATATTTTTAATTATACGTAACAAATATTAAGAAAATATTAATATATATTCATTTATTTGGTATAATATTTATATTTTTTGTAAAGGCATTTTTCGTTGGTGCCGGTAACAATCTCGGCGAACCAATTCCGCTTCAAGAAGCAAAAGATCATATTTTTGGCATGGTTTTGATGAATGATTGGAGTGGTAATTTTGTTATTTTTTTATATTAATTCATAGTTTTTAATATTTCAATTATCATTGCTAATATTACTTTTTCTTTATAAACAGCCAGAGATATTCAAGGTAGTTATCAATATAATACTACGGGTATCTAATTTGTAAAAATAAATATTTTTATTTGACAAATATGTATCATCCAATTATGAATATATAAACAGCATGGGAATATGTTCCGTTAGGTGATTACTTTTTATATTGTATTTAAATTTGATTTTTTTTAATCGTATACATGAAATCTTAGATTTTAATTGTATTTAGGCCCTTTCCTTGGTAAAAGTTTTGGTACCACGATTTCACCATGGATTGTCACACTTGATGCCTTGGAACCTTTCTTGGTAGATGGTCCTTGTCAGGTTTATAATCTATTTTTAATTCATATACTGTTTTTTACTCTATTATGTTTATGATAGCAATAATTATTATAATGTAAAAATGCAGGATCCTACTCCACTTCCATATCTTCAAGAAAAAGGAAAAAAATCGGCGTATGATATTCACCTTGAAGTTAAAATGAAACGTAATGTATTAAGCTTTCTTCAAATTATTAAAATATATATATATATATATTGTATTAATCTTAATTTTATTTTATAATGTAGCAAAAGAGTGTGATAATTATAAGACCTTAACTCGTTCAAATCTTAAATATATGTATTGGTCTATTAATCAGCAGCTTGCTCATCATACAGTCAATGGTTGCAACATGCGTCCAGGTGATTTATGTGGTACTGGTACAATCAGTGGCCCTGTAAGTTACATTTAATTATTATTTTTTTTTTCATATTTTTCTTTTATTTATTTTTGACTTTATTTTACTCAGACCGAAGATGCAAGAGGTTCATTGTTAGAAATTACGTGGAATGGACAAAATGTAATTAATTTTGATAATGGTGTTAAACGAATGTTTGTAGAAGATGGTGATGAAGTTGTGTTAACCGGTTTTTGTCAAGGAGAAGGATATAAAGTGGGGTTTGGTGAATGTAGTGGTAAAATCATGCCTACTAAGTATAGGGAATGATTTTTGTTTTC